CAAAGAAAGAGAGTTACGGGTTTGGATACTGCACTTGGGGAAGGGGAAAGTCGTCAGACACCGCGGGACGCCCGACCTGAAAAAGAGGGAAGGGGCTGTTAGCCTGGTTCCTGGGGGTTGGAGGGAGGGAAGGAGGCAGGGAAGGACCCAAATCCATTGGGAACACGCACACAGAGGGTCCCAGGCACAGAGATCCCTGCACACGCTCAGGGACATAACACAGCGATGCCCTGGGGGGGCCCACCCCGACTGCCACGACCCCCCCGGGCACCGCGGGCCGGCCCCCCCCTACCTCTCTGCTGGGGTCAGTAGGGTCTGTTGGCATCTTTCGGCCGCTTTAGCTGGACTTTTAGCCTCTTCATGCCAATCTGGAAGCCATTCATGGCCTGAATGGCCGCCTGGGCGCTCGTCGGATTGTCAAAACTGACGAAACCTGCGGAGGGGACAGCGGGGTTTGTCACCACAGACATCACAGGCAGCTGCTTCACCTCAGCACAGGCACTGAAATCCCACAGGATGCTCCTGTGTTAGGGGTGCTGGGAGAGGGAGTTGTGGGGTGACAGCACAGCCCCGGATTGCAGGGGACCGGGTGACAGGCTGACGGCGTGTTCGGGGACACCAAGGTCTGCAGGGACATTGAGGTGACAGGGTCTGTGGGGACACCAGCATAGGAGGGTCCACAGGGACACTGCAGTGGTCTGCAGGGACACTACGGGATTGGATTTGTGGGGTCACTGGGGTGACAGGGTCTGTCAAATTGGTGGGGATTGTGAGGACACCAAGGTGATGGGGGCTGCAGGGACACTGAGGTGACAGGATCTGTGGCGACACCAAGGTCTGAGGGTCTGTGGGAACACCAAGGTGATGGGGGCTGCAGGGACACTGGGGGGCTGCAGGATCTGTGGGGAAACCAAGGCCTGCAGGTCTGTGGGGACACAAGACTGACGGGGTCTGTTGGGACACTCAGGTGATGGGGCCTCCAAAGACACCACTGAGGTGACAGAGTCTATGGGGACACCAAGGTGACAGGGTCTGTGGGGACACCAAGGTCTGTGAGAGAGAGAGATGAATTCCTGAGCTAGGGATAACAGGGAGACATGGACATCTGAGCTGGAGACCAGGGAAGAGACAGACTCCAAAATGATGCTGGAGAGAGATGGACTCCCAAGCAGAGACACTGGGGAGAGATGGACCCCCAAGATGGAGATGCTCAGACCCCTGAGTTGGGGACACTGGAGACAGCCAGACCCCCAACATGGGGATACTGGGTGGAGCCAGACCCCTGAGCTGGGAACACTGGGAAGAGCCAAGGAGGGAGAATGGGACCCCCAGGCTGGAGACTGGAGAGAGTTGGGATATTGAGGAGAGCTGGATCTCTAAGCTGGGAAGCTGAGGAAACCTGAACCCTTGGGCTGGGATACTGAGGAGACCTGGACCCTTGAGTTGGGATGTTGAGGAAGAAGCAGAACTCCAGGCTGGGATGCTGAGGAGAGTTGGACCTCTGAGCTGGGATGCTGAGGACAGCTGGAGCCCCGAGCTGGGACACCAGGGAGAGCCACACCCCGGGACTTACCAAAGCATTTACTCTGGTTGGTGGCACGGTCCACAAAGACTTTGGCAGAGATGACGTTGCCGAAAGGCAAGAACATCTGCGTGAGCTCCGCGTCCCCGAACTCCTGGGGCAGGTGATAAATAAACAGGTTACAGCCCTCGGGACCTGGGTGACACACAAAGGACAGCACACGTGAGCCACGAGGTGGGATCACCCTGGGGGGACACCGAGGAGCCCCCGGCCCCACGGAGGGGTGACCCCCACCCCTCACCTTCTCGCTGCTGCTGCGGGATGAGCGGTGCCTGCTGGGGAAAGGCTTGGCTGATGGGAGCATAGGCAGTGGGATATGCTGCTGGAAGAGAGAAACACGGAGCTGAGGCCACGGCATCCGTCCCAGCCCCGGGAAGGGCTGGGATGGGGATGTGCCCCACTGTCACCTGCAATGGAGGTGCCTCTCCTGCCCCAGGGCTGCTGGCTCTGCCTTTCCCACCCTTCCTGGCACACCAGGGATGGCTCCCCCAGGAGGGATGTTTGTGATAGCAGTAATACAGACTCAAGGCTGAGGAAAGATGGCACTTTCGATTGAAAAACCCCAAACATTTGGGGTCCAAAACTTGATTTTCTGTTGAAAATCTGGACGTTTCTGTCAGTGCTCATAAAGAAATGGCTGCTGGGCTCCACATACTTCCATGGGAGGCTTTGACTCCCTTCTCCCCACAGCCCATCCCCTTGGCCGTCAGATTTGGCCACATGACGAACATCAAGGACTTCTGGTGTCTCCGTTACCTCCCAAACCTTGCCCCCTCTCCTAGGTGCCACTGCCAGGCCTCTCCACAGAGTTCTCTCAGTTCCATGGACATTAAAACTCTCTTTCCCCCATCCAAAATTTGCACGGAGGGCCGGGCCAGGAGCACATCCATGTTGGTGGGATGAGGGGATGGTGCTTTCATTGGCATCACCCTCATCACTGCCCTGGAGCTCCTGCCAGGGCACAGCACCTGCTGCTCCCCTCATCACTCCGTGCCCACGTACACTGCCTCAATCCAATGTTCAACCCCACGGTGACATTCAACTCCCAAAATTAAGGGTGAGGAGCAAAGAGGGGAGAGAGGGAAGGAGAGGGAAGCGGAGTTTGAGACCTGCATAGTGCTGCATGCCGGCATAGGCCTGCTGGAGGGGGTCTGCCACCGTGGGGCTTTGAGCTGGGAAGAGAAAAGAAAGAAAAAGGAAGAGAGAATAAGCCAGAGAAAGCCAGGGATGCACAGCTCCCATGGGAAAGGGCTGGGCTAAGTGCCACCACGGAGGGGCAGAGCTGTTTCCTGCCCGAATTCCCTCTTCCCTGTACCGCTCACAACACCATGGGAGGAGGGAATTCAGTAGGGATCAGCACACGACTGGTCTATCCAGCGTATTCCCGAAGTGGGAAGCACCCCTGGAGCGTCCAGCATGAGCTAAGCATGTGTCCCCAGCCCAGAGGGATGTCCCCAGGCTCAGGGAGCGTCCACAGCCCAGAGGGATGTCCCCAGGCTCAGGGAGCGTCCACAGCCCTGGGGGATGTCCCCAGGCCCAGGGAGCACCCACAGCCCCGGGGGATGTTCCCAGCCCCGAGGGATGTCCCCAGCCCTGGGAGCCGTGGCAGAGCCCCCGGGCAGTGGAGGAGGGTACCTGGGTAGGGGTGGATGCCGTTGGTGTAGATGGTGTCGGAGGCGGGCTGCCCGTTGGTCTGGGGTGGCAGGGGGCTGAAGCCGTTCACGCCGATGGGCGCGGCAATGCTGGGCACCGGCGCCGTGCTGATCCCCGGAGGGGTGCTCGTACCTGCGGGAGGGGGTGTCAGCACTGGCAGCCCCCCCAAGAGTGCTGAGCGGCACATGGAGGGGGGTCATACCTGAAGAGGGGGTGAGGGGGGCAGCCACCAGCCCGCTGACGTTGAAGGCGGCCATTTGTTGCATCTGGGCGGCGGCGATGGCGGCCATGGGGTTGAGGCAAGTGCCCTGGGCAGCTGCCATCAGGGCTGCCTGCTGCTGCATGATCTTAGGGAAAGAAAGGGGGGAAAAGGGGAAAGAGTGCAGGAGGCAGAGAGGAGGGAGAAGACAGGGTAAATTAGCATTCCTGCTTTGCACCTGCCCACGGGGACTCAGAGGAATAAATGCCACCTGCTGCCAGACCTGGGGACAGGAGGAGGCCCAGACGATGCTAAATATGGGACTACTGTGCCCTACAGCCACCCTCACCCAGAGGGTAAAGCCCTCTGTGTACCCCTAGACTGGGATACACCAGCCCTGACAGGCATCCACCCCCGCTGGCACTGGTACTTTCACGGGCCAAACCAGCCCCCCTGCAGCTACGGGGCCTCCCAAAAACTCCCCGGTGTGCAGCAGCTCCTACCGCTTGTGTGTAGGCCCCGTAGGCGCCAAACTGGATGGTCATGGGGTTGAAGATGCCCAGCTGCCCCGCCATCTGATGCATCCGACGCAGGGTCCTCTCCTTATCCGTGTCCGCAAACTTCACCACCAGGCTGGACGAGGCGCCCTGAGGCAGGAGGGAAGATGGGGCTGATGGCAGGACACCGGCAATGACCCCAGAACGTGTCCCCAGCTGTGGGTGCTGGCAGCATCCTCGGTCCCGGGGACATTGCCCAGCTTGGCAGCAGCCAGCGATCGATGGGAGGTCTAATTATAGCCAGTTTTTCTCCCAGGTGGCAGCTCCCTGACCTCTGCTTCCTTTTTCCCCTCCTCGTTCAGTTTTGACCTTCAGCGTTAATTAAACAGCCCCTATCTCCAGCACGGAGGGAATTAGCCCCGCACTCCCACCTCTGGGGCTCAGCTCCTGGCAAGGAGGAACCTCGGGGTGATGTGGCCAACAAATTGCTGGTCTGTAGGATTTTGATCCAATTAGAGAGACGATCAAATTAGCTGGTGATGGGATTAGGCAGGGTCAGATGGGGCAGGGTGCGAGCCTGGCACTTACCGGCATGGTTTGGCTGCCGTGCAGGCTGTTGATGGCAGCCTGTGCCTCGGCATGGCTCCCATATTTCACAAAGGCACAACCTAAGGACACAGAAGGGACACAGCACAGGTTGGATTTGGCCACTGTGGGTCCACAAGGTGCCCACCCAGCACCCCAAAGCCCACCTTTGCTGGCTCCATCAGGCCCTCGCAGGATGGTGCACTCCTCGATTTGGCCGAAGGGCTCAAAGAGGCGGCGGACATCGTCCTCACTCTGTTGCTTCCCCAGCATGCCCACAAAGAGCTTCCTGTCTTCTAAAAACAAAACCAAGGCCATTGCAGAGCAGGATGTCCCTCCCATCCCATCCCCTCATCACAAATGGTGTGTGGAGGGGAAGAGCCGGGTGACACCGGAGCACGGGGAGGGAATGACAACAATCCTGGGTTTACCACCTCCATCCTACAGAACACCCAGGGTGGGAAAAGCTCTCCTGTGGGGAAATTGCTGAGGGGTGAAGCTGGGAAGAGCTGTCACTTTAGGGAGTGGAGCTGGGGCTTTTCCTAGGGATAGAGGGGCCGACTCCCCCGGCGCTGAGGCGGGATGCGGCAGGGAACAAAGAGAACCCACAAACCAGCCGCGATCGCCTTCACATGATCGACTCACAGAACAACCCGCAGCCTCCGGCCGTGCCCGGGGGACATCAATAACCCAAACACAAGAGAAGGGAGAGTAAATAATGAGAATTTCATGATTATTACCAGCATCTGTCTTGTGCGGCCGCGCGCTCCCGCCGCACGCTAATGGCATTTGACAAAGAAAATAAGGTGCCCTGTCAAGAGCGTTGCCGGGGAAATAAATAAATAATGGCAGGAGACGATGAATGCTCTGTCCGTTAAGGTACCAGGAAAATTAGTTAAGGGAATAATGCTTGTGTGTTGTCTGGTTAAATATAAACCATCTCCCGGCGAGGGCAGCCGGGGGTAGCGGGCTGGGCGGCCCAGTGTCGCCTCCCGGGCGAGGGGCCGGAGCCAGGAGCCCCAGCTCGCCCATCGATTTTTAATGCTTCACCAAGTACGCTCGGTAAGTGGGTAATTTATTTGCCAGGTCCCTCTGGGACGTGCTGGCACCAGCTCCCAGCGTGTTTAATAACGGGGTTTGAATAGGGGGGTGTCTACCTCGGCTGTCCTGCCGAGGGCAGGGGGCCCCATGGGAGCATCCCACGTGTCCGAGTGCGCCTACCTGCCCAGCGACACAGCAAATGTGGGATTTTGATCCAATTCCTGCGATTTTTGCCCACATTATCACCTCAGCCTGGAAACGGTGCAGCCCTATGAGCTGCGAGTGCCCACGGAGAATTTCGGGGTGGGGGGATGGCAGTTTCTGTTTGAGAGGGGCTCGGGCCATGTGCAGCCAACTCCTGCACCCTGACTCTGCTGGGGGTCCTGCAGGCAATGCTGGGCAGGGAATTGGCTTGTTTGGTGGATAAAGGCAGTGTGGGAGAGCAGCTGGCTCTCCCTGTGCCCCCCAGGATGTCGAGATGCTCATGGTATGACATCAGGATGATGTTAGGACATTCCCAGGATGACATTCCAGCTGGTAGGGCAGGGAGAGACAAGATGGCATTTGCTCTGCACTCAGGTTTGGATGCCACCAGCAAAGGAAGCTCTTTTCATGGTTTCTCCGCAAACCAAACTCCCCACGGTGGCCCCCGCAATGCCATCGTGTGCCCCATTTCCCCCAGGTGACCCTGTGCACCCCTGTCCGTGCCAGGCAGCCAGGGAACCTGGCTAGGGACCTACCTCCTCGGCCCTCGCTGTCGGCCGGCTTCACCTGGATGGGGCGGTTCATCTGCAACACACAAGGGGGAGTGGGTGGTCAGTGCGGTGCCCCCTGAACCCTTTCCATGGGGAACAGCAGGATTTGGCCCCAGAGTGGCACAGGGAGCCAGGAACAAGGGGAAGGCCGTGCAAGAACAGATCCGGGGCTCGCGGCCACGCCGACCTGGGGATGCCACATGTGGAGGGCGATGCTCCGGCCCCAGGGATGGGCACCCGGTGCTGCAGGCGCCCGCCGGGCTGCCGGTGCCAGGCTTGGCCGCCTGCCCACTTTCCTCGACTGCAAAGGACTGCAGAGGCAGCAGCAGCACCCCGCCAGCCCCAGCCCCTCCGGCACCACCGCCCTCCTTTCCCCAGACCTCACCCAAATTCGGCCATCCTTGTCCCCGCCGCGTGTACCCGCGTGTGCGACACGTGTGTGCAGCAGGACACACCGGGTGGGCACACACAGCCCTGGCCCGCTGCCCCATGGAGCCATTTCTCCTCCTCTCTCCCCCTCCTTTTTCCCCTCTTTTAGCCGAAAAATGCTACAATTATGGCCGTATCCATGGCAACAAGCGTGCTTCCCCCGCGATGCTGCGGAGCCCGAGCCATGTGCTCGATGGGGTCGTCACGGCAACGGCGAGATGTCACGCATGACGGCGCGGGGGTGCGCACACGGACACGCCTCGAGCACACATGGGACAGTCGCCCCCACGCGCATGTGCAGCCCCATCCCAGGGTGCCCCCACCACACCCCTGGAGGGGGTCCCCAAATTTCGGGGCTGCGTGGGGGCAGAGCCAGTCCCCCTCGCATCAGGGAGAGGAAGAGGATGGGGAAGAGAGAAGAGGAGGGAGGTTTCCACAGCAACCGCCTCGTCTCCAGGGAAACGTGGAGAGAAATGTCAGCGCAGAGCTGGGGATGGTCCAGGGAAGGGTTTGAGTCCCCAGAAGCCACTGGGTGGCACAGGGTGGCACCAAGGGACACCTCATCCATCCATGTCACCAGCCCCCCGAACATCCATCCTGTGCGGGGCAGGATTCAGCTCACCCCAGACCCAGGAGGCTGTGACAGCAACAAGACCCTAAAAGCAGCACCCCCTGTCCCCCACATCCCTGTTGAAGCCGGGAGGAGGGAACCCCAGTTTTGGGGGGGCTGCTCCCCCTGCACTGACCCGCCAGCCCTATTTCCCAGCGTGATGGCCTTTGCTGGAATAAATTTCCCGTGCCCGCTGCTGTGTGCTTAATGCAATAAACCCAGCGAGGATGATTTAGAATAACATTTACGGAGCCGCAGAGTGTCATTTTGATGTGTCTCCCGTCTCCGCTCGCCGGTTATTAAACTGTATTGATTCCCCGGGAGCGGCTGATGTTTATAAATGTCAGGCCTCGGGGACTGGCTTAACCTACCCCAGGGCTGCTGCACCACACTGGGGAGAAACCGCCCCGGCCTCTGGACACCCCCAAAAGGGGGTTTTGCCATCCTTGGCATTGCCACATGCCCATTATGAGGTGCCTGGTGACCCCCTGCACCAGCTCCTGTGCCACTCAGACCTCCCCCTGCGCCCAGCTGTCCCCACAGCACCCCTGCACCGTGTCCACACCGTCACCCACCGCTGCCCAACAGCCCTTCATCCATTCCGCCCACCCCCCAACACCCATCCTTGCATTCACCCATCCCAGACACCCACACAATCACTCACACATCCATCTCCCCCCAGGATTCACCCATCCATCCCCCAACACTCATTCCCTAGCACTCATCCATATCCCCAACACTCATCCATCCATTCCCCAACACCCATCCATCCCCTTAGCATCCATCCATGCCCTCAGCACCTGTCCTCATCCATTCCCATAGCATTCATCCATATCACCAACATCCATCCATCCATCCATTCCCCAACATCCAGTCCCACAGCATCCATCCGTCCCCATAGTACCCATCCATATCCCCAACACACACGCACATCCATCCATCCATCCCCCAACACCCATCCATCCCCATAGCACCCTCCACAGTCCTAACACCCATCCATCCCCATGGCACCCATCCATCCCCCATCTCCCTGTCACCCACCTTTCCACCCCCACAGCACCCACACATCCATTCCCAACTACCATCCATCTCCCCAACCCCAAGGCCATGGTCATAGGAGACCCTGGCTGGGGTGTCCCAGCACCCACCATCACCGTCACCCCACAGAGCCCCAGCTACAGCACCCCATGGCCAAACCACCCCTGCCCCACAGCCCAGGGGTCACCATGGGTTGCTAAACCACCTCCTGACCGCTTGGGCACTGTCCCCCACCCAAATTTGGCCCCCTCCAACTGCCTGGGCACTGGGGAGAGCCAGTCCATGATGAATCACTGGCAGGGGGAACAGGGTCACTTCTAGCCTTTGTTCCTTCTTTAGCATCCTCCTCCAGCATCCTCCTCCTCCTCCTCCTTCTCCTCCTTCTCCTCAAAACCAACAGCTGGAGGATCCAGCAGGCCACCACGCATCCAAATGAGCCGAGATGGAGGTGGCAGGTGACGCTGGAGCAGCAGGCACCCGTGGGAGCCTGGTGTCCACGTCATGCTGGGGCCCCCAGGCAGCCAACACCCGGTGCAGGGAAACAGAAACTGGGTTACAGGCAATCACCCATCATGGGAACACCCTGCCAAAGCCCCAGGGGTGACCCACAGTGAGGGACACAGCCAGCCTAGGAACAATCACACCACCACACAGCCTGCACGTGCACGGTCACCCTGGCACACCCCCTGAACAGCCACACCCCCCTACAGCCACACACCCACACACCCCTTAGCACCACCACAGACGCCCCAGCACCCTCCATGCACACCCGCCCACCCACACACCCACTCACACACCCCTGGCACGGCCCCGCGCTCGTGCCCACGCAGCGCTGCACAACCAGCACTGCTGCGCACCCACGTGTGGCCACGCACCCACTGCACCCAGCCCCGTGTGCACCCGCACTCCCCGAGCCCTCATGAACCCCCACGCACCCACACAGCACCCACAACGCCCTCCCCGTGGCCGTGGATCCTGCACAGCCGTGGGCACACGCCCCAGGGTGCACAGCCAGCACTGGGACACAACGGCCCTCGCTTCAGTTTCCCCACTGCCACTGCAGAACCCACAGCGGGACCCTAAGGAGTCCTTTATGGACACAGGGACACTCCAGGACACCGCCCTGGATGGCCACAGCACTCCCCAGCAGCACCCCCACCCCACCCCATCCCCACCCACCCACACTGGGGCCCGGTGCAGTCCTGTGCAAACCTGAGCACATCTGAGCAGCTCCCAGCACACCCCCAGTGTGGGGGCCTGTGCGATACCTGCATGCACACCTGCACTCTGCTCACCCCCTGCACACACTCACAGCCCCATCACCACCAGCCCCCTGGCCCACGTGCACCCACACCCACAGCCTGTCACTGTCTCTAGGGGCAAAGACACCCCCAGCACCTCTTTACACACACACACACACACACACAGAGACACCAGCACACTTGCACACCCACCAACACCCACCTGTGCATGCCCGGGGGGGACAAAGCTGTACCCCCGCCAACGCACGCCCACCCCCCTGCACCACCTGTGGGCACAGCATCCCCCGAGCACTGCCCTCTGTACACCTGCAACCGCAGGCACACACAAACCAGGGTGGAAAAATACACCCTCCAGCCAACACACTGACACTAAAACCATCCCTGGAGGCTGATACACACCCTCACCAACACAGGCGTGCACATTCTCCATCTCTGCCTGCAAATACACCCTGCTCACCAACACACCCTGTCACTGGCAGCAGGTACACCCTTCTCACCGACACCCACACTCACATACAGCCTCCCTGCAAATACACCTCTTCACCAACAGCCTCTACCAACACCCCTCACCAACACCCTGCCCATTCCTGGATGCAGATACACCTCTTCACCAACACCTCCCTGCCGACACCCTCCCCATCCCTGGATGCAGATACAGCCTCTCAGCCACACACACACACACAAACACAGTCACAATCCCTATCCCTGAGCGCAAATACATCCTCAGTACCAACAACTGCCCTGCCAGTGCATGCACCTCATCTCTGGGTGCAGATACAGCCCACTCAACAACACCCACACACCCTATCTGTGGGTGCAGATACACCCCCTCACCAACACCTTTCCATCCCAATCCCTGGGAGCACATACATCCTGCTCGGCAACACCCCCACTCACACACCCCTTCCATGGCTGCAGATACACCCTGCTCAGCAACACCCCTCCATCCCCATCCCTGGGAGCAGATACACCCACTCTCCAACACCCCTCCATCCTCATCCCTGGGTGCAGATACACCCTGCAACACCCACATCCTCCATCCATGGGTGCAGATACACCCTGCACACCAACACACACACCAACCCTGCGTGCTGATGCACCCTGCTCATCAACACCCCTCCATCCTCATCCCTGTGTGCAAATACATCCTGATCACCAACACCCCTCCATCTTCATCCCGAACCCTGTGTGCAAACGCATCCTGATCACCAACGCTGCTTCATCCCCACCCCCAGCCCATCCCTGGGAGCAGATACACCCCCTCACCAACACCTCTCCATCCCCGTTCCCATCCCCATCCCTGGGTTCAGATACATCCCTTCACCATCACCCCTGCCAACATCCCTTCATGCCGATCCCCGGGAGCAGATACAGCCCCTCACCATCACCCACATCCCTCCTACAACCTCCCCGGGCTCAGCCCCCCCACGCCGGCGCGGGCAGAGGCTGCCGGGCGGTGCCGGGCCGTGCCGGGCCGGGCGGAGCGGAGGCGGCGGCAGACAAAGGCGGGGCCCTACCTCGATGCAGAGGATCTTGGACCCGGCGGGCACCCACAGCACGGGCGGCCGCGGCCCGGGCGCCGGCACCTGCGGCAGCTGCATGGCCGGACCGGCCGGACCGGCACGGCGGCTCCACCCGAGGCGGCTCGGCTGGGCTCGGCTCGGCTCGGCTCGGCTCGGCTGGGCTCGGCTCGACTCGGCTGAGCTCGGCTCGGTTCGGCTGGGCTCGGCTGGGCTCGCGCAGCTGCGCGGGGGGCGGGGCAGGGGCGGGGCGGCCGCAGCCCCGGCGAGCCGAGCCGGGCCGGGCTGGGCCGAGGGGCGAGGCCGCGGTGGGACACGCCCCCCAAGCTGGACACGCCCCCAGGCTGGACACGCCCCCCGCGCAGCGCCGGGGGCGGGGCCTGAAGGGGAGGGAAAAGAGGAGAGGGGAGGGGGGAAGGGGGAAAGAGGGGTGCTCAGGTGGAGGTGTGAGCACAGGTACAGAGGTGTGAGCACAGGTACAGAGGTGTGAGCACAGGTACAGGTGTGAGCACAGGTACAGAGGTGTGAGCACATGTATAGAGGTGTGAGCATAGATACATGTGTGAGCACAGGTATAGAGGTGTGAGCATAGGTACAGGGGTGAGCACAGGTACAGAGGTGTGAGCACAGGTACAGGTGTGAGCACAGGTACAGGTGTGAGCATAGATACATGTGTGAGCACAGGTACAGGGGTGTGAGCACAGGTATAGAGGTGTGAGCACAGGTATAGAGGTGTGAGCACAGGTACAGAGGTGTGAGCACAGGTACAGGTGTGAGCACAGGTACAGAGGTGTGAGCATATGTATAGAGGTGTGAGCATAGATACAGGTGTGAGCACAGGTATAGAGGTGTGAGCATAGGTACAGGGGTGAGCACAGGTATAGAGGTGTAAGCACAGGTACAGGGGGATTGTATAAGCACACACGGGTGTGCACACGTACAGGAGGCATGCACAAGCACAGAGGAGTGTGCACATGTAGAGAGGTACACAAGCACACGTGGGTGTGCACAAGCATGGAGGTGCATGCACAGGCACAGGGGTGTTTTCACAGGCACACACAGGTGTCTACACAAGCACCCGTGGCTGTGCACAAGCACAGAGGTGGGCACACAGGCACAGAGGAGTGTTCACAAGCACAGTGACGTGTGCTCAGGCACAGACAGGTGAGCACACGCAGATGGGAGCACCAACACAGGGGTTTGAACACATGACCACACCTGCCCAGATGCCCCCCACGCCCCCCACGAACACACAGGCACAGAGGGGTGTGCGCAAACATGTGCCCAGGCAGGGCTTGTGCCCACACACTCACATGCACGCACATGCTCACACGCATCCCTGTGCTCGCCCTGTGGAAAGGGCTCAGCAGCTACGGCAGCCATACACCTCACCTGTGTGCCTGATGAGATTCCCCCATGGCAAGGCCTGACCCCGCCTCCTTTAGGCTGCCGAAATGGGCTATTAACTCTTAAACCTACTAGCGCCCAGTAACCCCAGTGACAGCACATCTCAGGAAGCCACATCCCCTTGACCCACGTCCCCCTCCGCCAGCCCCGCGCACCCGCGGCAGGGATTGATATTCACGGGCCCCGGCACGTTCCCCAGCCAACCCGCGGGCCTATTGATTTTTATTTAGGCGAATAATTAAATATTTATTTTCACTTTGTTAAGCTCGGGAGGTCGGAGCCCACAGAAGGCGCAACAGCACGCGG